GAGAGAAGAATATGCGATATCTGGTGATCAAGGGATGGGGGGGCTTGCCTGGAAGCTCTGCTGAAAAGTACTGATCGTCAAGGCGTAGTCGTACTCGGCGGCATCGTCCGTCTCGAGGTCTACCGGGGAGAAGAGGGGGACGAAACAATAAATACAGAGCAAACAGATGCATGACAAGCAATAAGCAGCGCTAGGGGTGTTCTAACGCAAGGTTACACGATATAGGTGAAGGGGGGATTCACCGGGAATGTTTTCCCAGTTCCGGACCTGTGTCAAACAGATGACCGGAGGGGAAATGTTCCATGTTCAGATAGTTAGAGGCATCTACGAGGTAAATGGACTGCGTATTCGGATTCTTCTCGTCGTTCTAAGCAATTTTCATGTATGAAACTTTTTCATCCGAATTACGGATTAATTTCTATGATTTTTTAAAGATTTAAACAATTTCCTGAAAATCCCTGAAATTCTGCCAAGTCTGAGAATTCGCCGGCTTTAAACATTATTTGGCTGTTTTCGAAACGCTACAACTATTGTTCTGTACATCCTATGATTTTCTGCCTTATATAAATTTTGAGCATTTTTCTGTGATCTACTAGATAGTAGCATTTTCATCTCTGTTAGAGTTCATTTGCTTGATCATCAACAGCTCTAAAGTAGCTATGAAATTAAAGCTGTTTTCGGTTTTCTATTAACAGAACATTGAACTTTGTGATTTTCGTAGGAATTAATCTATACATCAAAAGGATTTGGTCCAGTGGGATAAAATAGAGCTTGTCATGTATACTTTCTACTCATATTATTTTTACTCCTGTTAGTAGTTGTTTAGGCGCTGTTTAGGGACTGCCTTGAGGGTTAGTCATTGTAGATTTAGAAAAGCTAGCAACATCTACAGTAGCAAGCAGCGGTACAGTAGAGCAGGAGCAAGCGGGCAAGGGCGCTGCAGCAAGGGAGCCAAGGCCGTGCGTGAGGCGGACGGGCGCGTCCCGGGTGCTCCGGCGGGCGCGCGCAGGAAGCACCGGCGACACCGGCAACCAGCAGAGCAGCTGCTTGCGGCATCGGCAACAGCAACAGGCAGGGCAAGTAGCAGCGGCAGTGGCATCAGGTAGCAGGAGCGGCATCTAGCAGCGGCAACGCAAAGCATTAGCACTAGCGGCGGCAGCAGCAAGGATAGAGAGCAGTGGCAGGATCCACGCACGTACGTGTACGCGTACGCGGGATCCCGGACGAGCTCAGGGACGACAGCTACGGCAACGGATCGATAGGGCAAGCAGGGGGGAACAGGGGAGGAGCTCACAGTGCATCCTTGGAGTGCTCAGGGAGGGTCGGGGTGGACCGGAGCCACCGCAACGACGGCGAGAGTGGTGACGGCCGGACGAAGGGGACGAAGACGACGTCAGCTCGAGGGCGTCCCGGCTTGAGCTAGTCCCTGGGACGGACGAAGCCGGCCGCGGGGGACCTCCTGGACGTGCTCCCGCACGCCGGAGACGGCGGTGGCCGCGATGATGACGGCGAGGGGCGTCGGGCGCGAGAGTGGCAGAGGGAGAGGGGGCGCGAGGGGATAGAGGTTAGGGTTCCAGGGGGAAGAAGGGGGCGCCGGGGTCGGCTAAATAGGCGGGAGGGAGGGTGCCGATGGTCGCAACCGCGGCCATGGCGCCGTGGATGGCCGCCACGGCGCCGTCTTTTTTTTTTTTTTTTGAGACAAGCCACGGCGCCGTCTGCTTCTGTAGCGGCAGGAAGGGGAAAACAGGGGGTGTTGGGCTAGGCTATGCAGGCCTGCTAGGTAGATGGGCCGGGTTGCCCATGGGAGGGAGCTTCATTTTATTTCTGTTTTTATTTTGTGTTTTGTTTTATTTTCTTTTCTTTTTACATGTTTATTTAATTTCCACAATAGTTTAGTTTATTTAAAATACCAAAGTAGTTTCTAAATTATTATTACTATTTATACCTCTGCCACAAAAAGTGCTAGTCCCAAATAAATTTGTTTGAAATTTTATATATTAGAAAAGGCATTTAACTAATTGTTTTAGATACTGTTTTCATTACTTTTGAGCACTTAAACATTCTATAAAAACTTGGTTTCTTCACCAACAATACTTACGAATTAATTTTCATAGTCTACACATTTTAGTTTTTACATTTGAAAACTTTTATTTTTGACTTTGTTTTGGATTTGAATTTGAACCGGTTTTGAACCAACGTGAGTTTAAGAACAGTAATCGTGGTGATATGGCACCATTAGAAGGGGATTATTGTAACTTAATTATCCGGGCGTCACAGAAAACACCTGCATGGAGTTACTGAAATTGTGCCCCTGCAACCACCAAGTTAGTTGAGGAATAACTTCTGTACACTGCACTAACTGTCCATTAGCCACTTTAACTTGGAGAGGTACTTGTATTTTTTCTATAGCAACTGATATTCTGCTCAATAGAGCCTGATCCACAAATGTGCGAGTGATGATCGAGTCAATTAGAATAAGCACCACCTGATTTCCAACCAAGGCCATCAACTGAATTGTTTTGGGATGATGAGCACCAGATAGGGCAGTAGCTGAGATAGCTGCACATTCTTCCGTATCACCAGTTACCAAGGCATCTAGAACTGCATTTGAAATGATCTCATGGGGATCTACCATCTCAGCAACTTTGAGCTGACTAGTTTGTGCAGCAGGTTGATTGCACATGTGCCCAGGTAGAAACTTCTCTCCACATTTATAACAAAGACCATTTGCTCGTCTGTATACCTTGAGTTGCTTGGCTTTCCACAAGTCACCTGTTGCCAACTGAGATTTTGAATCAGTTTTTGTGTATGAGTTGTGGAAGTAATTTGTCTTTGGGGTTTTGCTCTGTAACATCAATCCTTCCTGAAATGAAGCATACAGAGCGGCCACCTGAACTGTTGTGGGAATTTGGATCTCCACTCTAGCTCGAAGCTCTTCCTTAAGACCCATCACAAACCTTGTGACTAGAAACATATCACTGATTGCTGGCTCATACAACCTGACAGTGTACACAAGTTGCAGAAACTGTTGTTTATACCAATGTTGGGGATATCGCTTATCGAGAACTTATCGGTCGACCCATGATAAGGAGTAAATCGGCCAGTTTATCGGCATATCGGCTGGGTTATCATCATATCGGTTGATTTATCGGCCGATATATCTTATCGGTCAGACACTGGTAAGCGATAAATCGGCCGATTTATCGGAATATCGGAAGATATCTTAAACAGTCGTTTATACTCCTCCATAGTGCATGTTTGTTTCAACAGCATCAGGTCTTTCATCTTCTGTCTGTATACGTCCACATCGGACTCCTGCAGTACCGCAACACAAAACTGCTCCCACGTATGGAATACCCCTAACTGTTTGAACCCTTGATATGAGTGAGCAGCATTGTCGGACAGATACAAAGAGGCGGAGGTCACCTTGAAATTGTCAGGTATGTGGTAGAGCTGGAAGAAGGCTTCACATCTGTCTAACCAAATCCGCACATCCGAGCCATCGAACCGTAGAAAATCCATCTTAGGCATCCACTGTCGCCTTTCCCCACTCTCCTCAACTGCAAGTGGCACTAGCGGCTGCACAATGGGCAACGGGATAGGTACCTGAACTGGACAAGGCGGCGACCGCATGAAACATGGTCCTGCCCCTAGAATCCATCTGAAACCTCAGATGCAGTCGAGGAAGAGCTCTCTCCCGAGCCCGTGGACTTGCCTCCTTGAGTCACATGGAGTTACCCTTGTTGTACCTGCTCCAGAGTGTCGCATGAGAGATCCACCTTGACTTGTACTTTATCCAGGCGCGTCGCTTGCTCCATGAGCTTCGCATCCAGAGCAGCGAGCTTCTCGCAGATGTCGTCCACAGCTGCCTACTTGCTCTGATTCGCCCGTAACTCGGTGAATTCCTTGAGCATCCGCTCTTGGAACGCCTCCACCTCATCGGCGAGAAACCGCGTCAGCGGATTCGGTTTGAATGTCGCCGTGGCTGCATCATTCCCCAACTCAACCCACCTCGGGTCTGGATTTACACAGATCAAGCCCTAGAGCGATCTGTAACCTTCGCCGCGGATTTGCTGGGTACGAAATTGGGGAGAATTTTTTTTGGTGGCTGCGCGAGCGGAAGGAGAGGCTCTGATACTAGATTGTCACAACCTAGGGTCGGCCAAGGTTCGTCGCCGACAAGGTAGCGGGATGAGAGGTAGCAGATTTGAATTTGGTAGAGAGGGAGAGACAACAACTAGGAGAAGATAGTGAGAGGAGGAAGGAGGAGCCTGTGGCTCATAATGATCTATTTCATCGTTGATGCCTATCCACAGCGATCCGACTCGCTTATATAAACGGGTCCGACTCACACTTACAAGGCCCACGGCCCAACACCATTACACGGCTTACAGCCCACTCGACACCCCTCGAATTCAAACACTCTCGCGTCTCCTTGCCGCTTTCTCCTCCCCTGCTTTACGCCTTTCCTCCCTGGCTACGCCTGCTGCCAGCGCTGCAGTCCTTACAAATCTACAATGTGATACCCCAAATCTCGATCGGATCTGACTCTTGTATACTGACTATACATACTTGCAACGAGCACCAGGAATCCTCTATGCTATGCTATTAAGCTATGGACCTATGGTAGAACAAAACTGGCTATACTATACACACCCTGTTCTTTGTCATTTGAAGCTAGCATCCTTGTTGTTTACTGGTGTAAATACATGGTTAGGCAGGTCCGTGCACCGGAGGATGAGATAGAGTAGGAACGCGGCATAAGCAACCACAGCCACGCAGAGAAACGAGCCCGACACCGCGCCCCTAATTTCCGACGAGAAGAAATCCAACAAGAGATAGCCGTTGATCAGGATCGGCAACGACGCAACCGTCCAGGTCACAATCTGCACCAACATGCATGCCAAGGTCAGTTCATAATCATATGTGCGACTGATAATGATTTGGCTAAACTGAAAACAGCTAAGTACAACACTACTAGGACTTGTTGGATTTCAGCATCAGCGGCCATTACTCACCTGTGTTGTTAGACCTATCTTGAACACCCCCATGACCTGCTCCTTGGACACCAACGTTATCAGCGGTATGAGCGAGAAAGGGATCTGAACTGACTGGAGGACGTTGAGCCACTCGTTCAGAACATCCAGCGCTGATTCAGACGCGTTGAAGTACAGCGCGACAACGATCGTCGGCACGATCGCAAAGCTTCGGGTGATCATCGCCCTCATCCATTTCTTCAGCCGCCAGTTGAGGAACCCATCCATTATGAACTGTCCGGCATAGGTTCCGGTAATGGTGCTGCTTGTGCCGGCGGCCAACAGGCCGACCCCCCAAATGGAGAGGATGGGGAAGTAATCTCCCCCAAACTTTTCTTGGAGATACTGTCCGGCGTTTTCGAGCCCGATCGTGCGCGCTTCTTCGGTGCCGTAAAACCCTTTGGCGAAAACCGTCGTGACAAATAGGTTTATCATGAAGGGCACCACCAGCGCCATGGTTGATTCGATGCTGTAGTACCTCAGCGCTTCCCGGACTTGGTATTCCTTGTTCTGGTCTACTTTTCTTGATTGGACGAGAGCAGAATGGAGGAACACATTGTGGGGGGTGATGACACATCCCACGATCCCTACTGCTTGCCTTAGTGTTCTTGAGCTCAGCTTAGGAACCAGAAGACCTATTTTGCATAGAGATTATTTTTGCGTCAGATGAAGCAGAATAATGTGGATCAAATTTAATTTGTTAAAGAAGAAGAAGAAGAAGAAAAGATACTTACCAACAATTAGGTCTTTCCCACTGGGTTTGGTTTCTATGAACATCCATGCGAAGGACCAGGCCATTATTGCAATCAGAACTGCAAATAGAGCCTCCAATTTTCTCACTCCGTAGTTCTCGATGGAAAGAAAAATAAAGCTGATGAAAAAAAGTATATTAAGGTAAGTCGAGTGGAACCTTGTGTTCACCCAAATAATAACTACAACAAAATAAATGCTCACCATGTAAGCAAGCAATTTGGAAATGTTGGTGCAGTAGCTCTGGTGATGTATAATGTAAAATAACACAAACTTCATTTCTGTCGTTACTCCTATGCTAGTTTTCGTGCATAGTGCATACAGTAGAAATCAAAATGATCAAGTAATTTTCACATTTCTGATATCTCCATAGGGAAATGTTCACTCCTGGTCGCCTACAAAGTTCAACAAAAATATTCTGCAGCATGTCATATATCGATGTGATAAATGTTGTTCCATCTCTACAAATGTGTACTGACTAAAAGTTTTGAATGATGCACCGGTCAAGTCGACCAAAAGGATACCACAAACTGGAACTAACTTGATCAAATTTCAGTTTTTGCAACTGAATCTACAAACTGAAACTAATTCGTTCAAATTTCAAGTTTTGCTGCGACTCGCTGCTGAACAGTTTTTTGCAACACATGGACGGTTTCATCCTAAAGATTTGGGGTGAGCCACAGATTTCTGGGAGCTGACAAGAAATCTCCAGTCCAGAATAACTCAAACATTTTGGCAACTGGCATCGAGCAGTACATCTCAACAGCACAAGAAGAGGCGATCAAAACTCACCAGTCCAATGCGGTGATGACAACGCCGGCCCAAATGGGCAGGAATCCGCGGCTGAGGATCTTGATGGCAATGGCGCTCCCGATGACCTCCTGGATGTCGGCGCTGACCATGGAGACCTCGGCCATGAGCCAGAGCGCGCGGCGCACCCAGTCCGGGTACTCGTCGCGGCAGAGCTCGGCGAGGTTCTTCCCGGTGGCCACCCCGAGGCGCGCGGCGAGCAGCTGGACGAGCAGCCCCATGGCCGTGGCCCAGAGAAGCAGCCAGAGCAGCGTGTCGCCGGCGGTGGCGCCGGCCTGGAGGTCGCCCTCGAGGTTGCCCGGGTCGAGGAAGGCGATGCTCATCAGGAACCCGGGCCCCGTGAAGAGCCAGAGCTTGCGCCACGAGAAGGGCGGCGCGCGGCCGGTGGCGGAGAAGAGGTCCTCCTCGTCGGCGTCGGGGTCGGCGGCGATGGACACGACGATCTTCTCGGCCGGCTCGAAGGCGCACTGCTCGGGGTCCTCGTCGGAGGAGGAGGAGGACGCGCGGAGCAGCGCGTGCGCCTCGACGTCGGGGCCGGTGCCCGCGGCTGGGTCCCCGTCGGCGGCCATGGGACGACGGGCGGTGAAGCTGCGTTGCGCGAAACCGAGCGCCGGCCGGCCTTCTTTGCCGGATGTTTTCGCGGGCTCCTGTGGCTTGGGAATGCCCGTGGTTAAACCATATGATCCTCGTTGCACAAAACTAAATATACACCCCAGAAATCCACGAGGCCGAAACATTTTGGCTGGTGTGCCCTCGCATGCCTGCATGCCTGCATGCGGCGTGCGTGAACCGTACAGGCGAAAAAGGTCGTGTGCACGGCTTCGCTCTTTGACCTGGGTGTTCGATGCACGCGGCTGCTCTAGCAAGCGCGTGTGGAATGAGCAATCACAATTTAAGTGCTTTACGTGCAGTCCTATCAAGGGGGCTAGGATTGGATGTTAAAGCATCTACGGCCGCAGAGGACAAATATGACCTCTTAAACGCCTCCTGACGTGTCCGGACACGTCCGCGGGCAATAACAAGGCACTACTCAAATAGCCTCGTCCACGTCCGTGTATCTCATATTCGATCCCCTATATTCATACTAAATCATGCAGCGTCAATCAAAATACGTAGATCAGCAAACGGACACAGGCAAGCACAATACTTTCACCAAAAGATCGGATGTTCAAACGGCCACCAAAGTTCATACCACGAACAACTTGAAATTACGTCTAAAGCTTGAAACTAAATTGAAACAACGTGGATCTTCTCCACTTCCGGGGCGGCCCTTCCCCTTTCGATCGCCGGCGCAGCTGTAGCCATCGGTGGCTGGTGGAGGATCGTCCACTCGTCGGACGAGGAGCCGCCGCCGTCGTCGTCGGAAGAGGAGGAGACGATGATGAGGCCCTTGAGGCGCCGGACGGCCCGGTCCTGCTGCCGCTTCAGCTTGGCCAGTCGAGCCGCCTCCATCGCCTTCTCCTTGGTCTCGAGCTTGGACTGCTCGATAGCTAGCCATAGAACCTTCACATTCTTCCACCGAAGCCGCCGAGTGTCTGTCTCCGCCGTCGTAAGCGACCGGAGGTAGACCTACGCGAGGAGTCGCTTGTCCTCGCCGGGCTCCGCAGGTAACCCACGGCGGCGGCGGACAGAGCTCTCCGCCGCGTCCCTCTCCCTTGCTCGCTGCCTCTCGCGGCGGGTGGCGCGCGCCTCTGACTCCTGCATGCATGGCTGGGCCGGTGCCGTAGCGACGGGCACAAGCACCCACCGCTACCTGCGTGAGGGAGCAGCAGGCAGCGGAGGAAGGGGACGATGTGGGGGAGGCGACTGCGCATCCCATGCGGAGCCAAGCATGGACCGGGAGGAGCCAGCGCCGGCTTCCTCACTGCAGCGGCGAGGGAGAGGCCAGGCCGATTCGGAACTGCCACCCCTGTCCACCTTGGACCTCTCGAGGGCAATGCGGAGGGCTAGATCCTCGTCGAAGTCGGAGGAGCGGCTGCCGGCGCACGACATGGTGGGCGCAGTCACCGGATTGGTCGAAGTGAATCGAATCGGAGAAATCGGAGGGAAGAAGAAGAGACAGATCAAAGTGGAGTGAGCTAGGGTTTCCGGATTGGGAATATTGTGGGGACGGAGTGGGGGGTGGGCCGAGCTGACGTGGCGGGCGTGCCCGGGCGCGAGGTGGATATGAGGGGTGTCAGTCAACCCGGGCGTTTGAGGGCCGTTTGAGGCGTCCAGGTGGGTCAAAAAACATGATCGATGAGTGACGGGGCGGGCCGTCCGGGCATTTAAGACCGGTATAAGGCGTCCGGCTGTAGATACTTTTATAAGAGGAAGGGGCCCACCCCCTGAAAATCTCAAAAGGGTGGGGGTAATTAGATGGAGGATTACGCAGAGTTTTCACAGAGCCTACGAAGGTGTAGGATTTTCGATGTGGAATTCAGCCCATTGGTTTTCAGATTGAAGAAGACGTTCCTGATTCCTCTCGCCCGAACCGTAGCACCTAGGAACTAATTAACGAGCGCGAGCGCCATCGCCCTAGTGTGCAGCTGACAGGGCGTTGGACTGGCGGCTGGTGAAGGACGCTCGTTCCAGCGGTGTCAGTGGTCATCGAAGCGCGCACACACACGTACATTTCAATTATTCCCAGCACAACTTGTTCAGTTTACCACTCTACGCACTCTGATCTCTATTTTTAATGAAGCAGTTGGTAGTCTCCGTCAGTTAACTTTCATCCCACCTCCTTTTATTTATTTTCGTCCTACCTCCCACCTCCCCCCTCCCAGTATTTCCCCACTAAACCGTCGAGCCAAAAAAAAAAGCTATGTTAGCAATGCCCCCAAGGCAACGCAGTCTCACAAACGGTGAAAAACTCTACGAAAATTAAGCAGTCGCATAAACGACCCACGACTCGCACGCACGAGTGAGCGAGCGAGGCCTCCAGAGATCCCTTGGCCGCCGCCCTCGCGCTCGTGGATCCCTGAAACGTCGCCGATCCGAGACGAGCCGCCGCCGCCCTCGCGCTCATGGATCCCTGAAACGCCGTCGATCCGAGACGAGCCGCCGCCGCCGAGGAACAAGAGGAGCCACCGCCGCCGAGGAACAAGAGGAGCCACCGCCTTCATTGCGGACCACCAGGTCTCCGTCGGGACACACCGCCGAGGACCGCAATCGCCGCCGACGAGGTCCTAGAGGAGCCGCCGCCGCCTTCGTGCATCGGAGGATTTGATTGACTTCTCCTCTCCTCTCTTCCACCTCTGGTCGTCGGGTAAGTCGCAGGTATTGTATTCGTAATCGGTTCCAATCTCGCATCCCTGTTTCATTGTTCTTCGTTTGATTCATTTGAGGTGCTCCTTCCGACGATGTCGAGGGTCTTAGTCTCTGTGATTTCTCCTTGTATGTTCTGTTGAATTTTGAATATCGACCTCACATCTCGACCGCGGCTCCCCTTCATCTTCATTCTCACTGCCGAGACAACGTCTCCGCCGACGCTGCCGACCAGTCTGCTGCCGGCGTACCGAGAATCCAACGCCAAAATCCTCTGAGCTCGATGACCCTGACTCCTTTCTCTCCACGTGCCCCGCACGATGTGGGGGTCTCGATGCTCGGACTTGCCTGCCCGACGCCGTCTTCCTCCGCCCCTTCACTCCACGGACCTGAAGGATCCACCCCACTCCGCTGTCTCTGCAACCCACTACTAATGCAACAGCCTGCATGGCACAGCTCGGCCTGCTAACTAAGGCTGTGTTTGATAGCAAAGTACTGCAAAAAACAGGGTATTGAAGAACTGCAGTATTTTAACCCATTGGTGCAAGATACCATGGTTTTGACATATCAAACTATTTTGGAGTTTTGATAATACAGCGACCCGTTTGGCTAGCGCCGTATGTAGCGATGTAAAATGAGTTTTAGCTAGCTCGGCGTTGCATGCAACTGATCGGCCATGCACATTTATCATCCGCATGCACAAACTGAACGGCACTGCACGGCCATAGACATGGCTTGTAGCTTCCCTTGGAGGACGCTCAGCATCGCGAAGTAGCCGACTCATCACCGTCGAGTCATGGTGGAGCTGCGCGTGGAGGTAACACGTCACTCTCTGCACATGGCTTTGCTGGTCGGAAGCTGTGCAAGTGCGTGTGGACTAAACGGCCTGACCTTCATCCATATCATCGTCGAGGGGAACCAGGAGCTGACCGTGAATTGTAAACGGGTGGCCAAGATGGTGTTCGTCATGTCCACAGCTAGCTCCAAGCCTTCTGTGCCACTGACTCCTCGTGTATCGCCATCCTGCCGCGCCCAGGTGTTTCTCTGCAGCCTCTCCACCATGACAACGTTCCATGGCCTCGCGGTGCCAAGCATCGGCATTCATCGTCGTGCGAGGGTCACTCCGCGGCGTGGCCTCTACCGCATGGTCTAAGGCAAGGTACGTAGCCAGGAGGTAATGGGCGGCCTGTGTAGAGAGGCATGAGGATGTACTGTCTCTTGGTTTGTCCATGACCGCCGAAGTAGAAGATCTTCAGAGACGGCGATGCGGCGATGGCTTGGATCGAGGAAGAAGTTGAAGACACCCGTTTCTTTTGCGTGGTGTGGGCAGAAGGGCGAAATTATAATTCTTTCGGATCATTTTGATCCGGAAGGAGATGGATGCTCCCGTCCCCCCTCGCTCCCCTCTCCCCTCCGGCGTCCCAGCCCCACCCACCGCCTCCACCCCTCCCCTGCCTCCTACGACGGCCACCTTCCATGACCCTCTCCGACGGCATGACTCCCCCACCGCCAAAGCCTTGCGGGCCGCACTCGGCGTCAGCGACGCTATGGGTGACGACTTCCAGGCGCAAGTTTGGCGGTGCCTTTCCAAGCATATCAACCCGCGTCGCCATGAACCCCCATGCTTCCTCTCCATGCATGTCCACCATTCTTCGCTCGTCCTTGACGAAGAACTGGTGTCCGTCCTCATGCAAGCCTGCCTGGGCGGCAACGCCCCTGCTTTCCAGGTGACTCGCCTCCATGATCAACTCTTTCGCATCTCTGTATCCGATATGCGCATCGTTCAAGCTCTCATTGCCGAGCCCATCCTCGTCGCCACAAGCCACTCCATCCAGTTTCTCCCTTTTCCACCGCCACCCACCTCCACACACCGTCCACCCATCCACCAAACAAAGCCCCTTGACATTGGCGACCGCTTCGGCCATGCCGACGCATTCCTGCGCTTTCAGCTTGGGTTCTTCCCCTCTCCCGGCGTCGACTTCGTGCGCAACATTCATGATCTCTGCTCGTCCAAAGTTTTTGCAGCGCCAATTGCCTCGGCCTCGCCCACCTCAATCATCTTCTTCGTCCATAAAGC